AGTGCAATAAAATTGGGTATCAGTAATTCGTACTATTTTCAGCAAGACAATGATCCCAAGCACACTGCCGGTATAACACGAATGTGGTTGCTTTATAATGTACCCAGAAGACTTGCTACTCCACCACGATCACCAGACTTAAATCCTTTGGAAAATTTGTGGAATTCTTTGGATTTAAAAGTAAGAAAAAAAAAAGATTTCAAGCAAATCTGCACTTAAACAAGCTCTTATTGAAGAGTGGTCAAATATTGACCCTACTGTTGCAGAAAATTTAATTAAATCAATGCCAGCAAGATTACAAGCAGTAATAGATGCTAATGGAATGCATACTAAATATTAGTTATTTGAAATTTTCTTATATATTATATTTCTTTTGTATTCATGCGGGTGTGCAGATACTTTTTTGACAAGAGATATTTTAATTTTGTTGCAAAAAAAATTGTTATTTATATTATTGTATTTTTTCTATTTAATTTAGGTGATTAAAGTTATTTTACTTTGGCAATACGAATTTTTATATTTCTTAATGCTTAATTTTATGATTTGCAAGCAAAAATGTAAGTGTACAAATACTTTTTGTGCCCACTGTATATCACATTATTTTATGGTAAAACCATACAGAATATACAAAATTGAAATTTGTTCAGCAAGAGATGTCAATGAGATGTCGAATTTATATTTATGTAGATGTAGGTCGGAGCGATCTTTTGGATAGTGTCTTCGGTTATTAGAAGCAACCTTCCAATATGCAACATGGTTAAAGCTGAAACTGCTACTTGTCTGCTTTTACAGAGGCAAATGACCAATGCCAAAGAGCCTGGTGCTCGAAATCAACATTATTATGTAAAATTTAATTATTTTGTAATGACTCCAGAGATTTCTAGTCTGTACATATTTTAAAACAAGTAAAAATTTAAGAGTTACATAATATTGTAGATGGCAATTCACAGAAATTCAGCCACGAGAAGCAAAATAGAATTTGAGATCCTAATTTTTATTAAAAATAACATTCTTGAAAAATAACTTATTATAACTTTTAACATCAAACAGAATTTAACAGTACATTTTACGAAGTAAAGCAATTTTTAAAAGTCATATAATAAGCAGCACATAAGCGGAAAGCTTTATTTAAAAACATAACAACTAATAGAATTTCTTCTAGAGCAACTGATAAAGATATGTTTTGATCAAGAAGATAAATTTTTCTACCTTTTAGATACGCTTGTGCGATATATAAATATCATGTTCATTTGCAAAATTGAACAAAAATTTGGGATACAATAATGTGCTACATTATGAGAAGTATATATTTGACTAGAACTCCGGCAGATACAATTATTATCTTCTTCATTGGCTCAACAGCTCCATAGTGGGCCAAGGCCGTCTGCCTACAGGCAGATTTCGAGAGACGATATATTTTTTTTTACAGGGTAGGGTTGTCAGCAATACGCCTACATTGGACTAGGACGTACTGTTTAAAGTGGATTCCGACCCACTACAAACAGCCATGGCACCGTCGACACTCGAACCCGAAGGTACCAAGTGTCAGAGCGCTAGTCACTGTGCCATCTGGCTCCATACAATTGTTATAATACTTGTTATATTGATATTGAAATGCATTCCTCTAAAGAAGCATCTTTATAACTTTTTTCGTGTTATCTTTTCATAAACGCTACATAGTTTATAAATGGAACTAATGTATTAATTAGTCATTTTAATGAAGGAATCTTTTTACGCCCATATAACTATTAAACAGGATTATTATGTTTGATAAGCAATTCTCATTCATCTAATGAGAAATTCTTCAGTTTGATGATAATTTTATACTACAAGTTAATCATTTTTCACTCGTACCTATTTTAACACAATATTGTTTAGGTATAAGGTTTTTATTTGTCACTATTTAACTATTGCAATGTCAAATAAAACATTAACAAAGAGGTTTAAGAATTAAAACGAATTAAAAATTTTTTTTAAAGACACATTAAAAAGAAGAAACAGAATGTGCAAGAAACAGTATGTGCAAGAAACTAAAAAGATACTTTTAATTCTAAATTGAATGAAAAATCAATAGCGTGGACATGCGAGATACTGGCCTCTTCGAATCAGTAAGTACTTTTTTATTATATATAAAAAAAAGTTCTTCGAACACATTAACGATTCTTTTTACGGCTTTTTTCCTATAACTATTAAACAGGATTCTTATGTTTGAATGATGAGAAATTCTTCAATTTTATGATAATTTTATATTACAAGTTAATCGTTTTTCACTCGCTTAAATTATTTCTAACACAATATTGTTTATATATAGGGTTTTTATTTGTATCTATTTAAATCTTGCTGTGTTAGATAAAACATTAGCAAAGAGATTTAAGAATTAAAACGTGTTAAAATTTTTTAAAATGCATATTAAAAAGGACCTTTTTTGTCTAAAATTTAAGAAACAGAATGTGCAAGAAACTAAAAGCATACTTTTAATTCTAAATTCAATGATACCGAGATACTGGGATCTTTGTATCAGTAAGTACTTTTTTATTTTATAAAAAAAAAAATAGTTGTTCTTCGAACACATTAACTAATCATTACTATTGCAGCATTTGAGGGTATTTACATTCCAATTCTACTTCTGTCAATACTTTACATGTGAATAAATACTTTACCTGTGTATAATACTTTACATGCATATTACTTTTACATTCATACTTTACATGTATATTACTTTTACATTCATACTTTACATGTATATTACTTTTACATTCATACTTTACATGTATATTACTTTTACATTCATACTTTACATGTATATTACTTTTACATTCATACTTTACATGTATATTACTTTTACATTCATACTTTACATGTATATTACTTTTATACTCATACTTTACATGTATATTACTTTTACACTCATACTTTACTTGTGTTTTAAATTTTTTAAACTTTCTAGCAGTCTTTTAGTAATGTCACATACAACAGTGCATCCTTTTCTGCGAATAAAAAATAAAAATCCTGGTATATAAAAAAAATCCCTTGTCTTAAAATAAGTTACTCTTTACTTTTGTCATTACGATTTGTCATGGACAGGAGCACATGGACTTTCCATTTGTTTTTGTCATCAAAGTCTTCAGCGATCAGTATATACCATCTTATTTAGAATTCACTGTAACAGTTACAGTTAACGGTTTAAAACGTTACCTTGATATTTGTTTCTTGAAACCTTTTTCACATGATTGAAAGAGATAATCACTACCCAGTTCAACAGGGGGAAACAAAACATTTACCATAGAGGTTAAAAAAATTTTGTGGGTAATCATGCGGGAAGAAGATTTCAGATGTCTAACCATTTATAAGCAAATATTTTAACCACAATTTAAGGAAACTGATGGTTTCCAGTTTTTTTTAAATTTATTATAAAAACAAGATTGGTGATCTGTAAGGATTAAGAGGAATTTACACCGTTGCTAAAATCTTACTTCATTGAACGCCAGTCAATTAGAAGAATGTTTTCTGGCCCACACTGTCCTTCGATTGGCTGGCATACTGCTACATAAGCTTTTAGTATCCGGTCCCTCTTTAGTCCGCTGCGTTGATTACATGTAACGCCTCCAACATAATTAGGAGTTTAAAAAGACATTAATAAAAGGACAATAGCATTTTCTCTTTTATTTTCATCATTACAATCCTGATACTCTCTATCAAAAAAATTTTTTTTGCCGACGAGACTTTTTCTTCCTCTATTCTGTACATATGAAATATTTTTAAAAATTTGATTTGTAAAATATGACAACTAATATTAGTACAGTAGAATACTTGTGAGGAATCGAAGGGTTATTTAGAACACAGCTTGCTTTAAAATTTTTTAATTCTTTTAAATTTTCTTCCCATTGTTTTAAAATTTTAGAAATTCATTGATACTACCACGATTGATAAATCTTCTTCGTGATGTTCCTCTAAAGTGTTTTATAAAATTCATGGAATACTTGGAAGGAACCCCAGAGTTTCGTGGAACATATTTTGCTTTAAAATTTCTTGAATTCATCTAAATTTTTTTCCCACTGCTTTAAAATTTTAGAAATTTCCTGATACTAGAACAATTGATAACTTTTGCTCGTGGCGTTCATGAAATTCGTGGAACACAGTTTCGGTTAAAATTTCTTTTAATTCTTATAATGTTTTCCCTGCTACTTTAAAATTTTCTGACCTTGCAGAGATTAATATCGCTTGTTCGTATTTCCTCCATTTACTATAATCATCTACATATTTCATCCATTTATGATGAATATTTTTCTTCTTTTTTACATTAATTTTTTTCTACAAATGAAACTTTTTACTCATACCAGTTTGGATAAACTGGCATGGACGAAATTACGAGCTATGAGTTAGATTACTGCAGAATTTGAAATGTCTTCAACACAAGGAAATGAGGCTTTACCTGGATGGGAAACGTATTGACATTGAGGGAGGTGTATACAACTATCTTGAGGCTTCATGTTTAATACACCTGTTCCATCACATTCCAGGGTTAATATACACCTTTTAATCGGATTTAGTTCCCTGGAATGTATTCAGACGGACGCTCTGTATCTCTTCAGCAACGTGCAAAGCTCTCTGATCTGTTCTGTATCACAAATGATGAGATTTGCTCCACAATGCTCTTAGAATCCTTGTGCATTAGAATGCATGCAAGTATTGATGGGAGAAGTCGTTATATACCATATGGATTTTCTGTTGAAGAATAAATATTAGTAAGTTATTAAACATTAAAAATTTTGAACTTTTTAACAGTTGCTTTTAATGGTATTTGTTTAAAGATCGTGTGTTCATATCGTTATTCGTCATCCAAAAATTATTTTCTGTACGGCATTTAATTTTTTTAAAATAGAATAACTTTTTATAATTTTTTAATTTATTCTTGTGGGAAAATGAAATAATGAAATAAAAGGTAAAATAAAAATAAATAAAATATAATAAAATATAAATAAGATAATAAAATTGTGCCAACGGCCGTACCATGCTGAATATACCGGTTCTCGTTAGATCACCGAAGTTAAGCATCATTGGGCGCGGTCAGTAAACCACCTGGGAACACTGCGTGCCGTTGGCAAATTTGGGACCTGAATGGCCGAGTGTCTAGCGCTCTGGCGCTCGGTGCCACAGGTTTCGGGTTCGAATCCCGGCGGTGCCATGGATGTTTGTAGTGGTTCGGAATCCACTTTAAGCCGTAGGTCCCGGTCTTCTATGACTGTAAGAGCGTCACGGAGCAAAAGTCAGGCTTCTACCTACGGGTGCTCCATCACAACAGAAGCTGCTTCCTTCCCCTTCAATCATGAGTCCATATGGGCTTGTGGGCTTAGCCAGCCAAGTGGGATAAGAAACAACAAACAACAACAACAAATAAAATTACGATAAAAATAATAATAAAATTAATAATAATAATTTTTATCTTTTTTTAATTTATTCTTGTGGGAAAATGAAATAATGAAATAAAAGGTAAAATAAAAATAAATAAAATATAAATAGGATAATAAAATTACGATAAAAATAATAATAAAATTAATAATAATAATTTTTATCTTTTTTTAATTTATTCTTGTGGGAAAATGAAATAATGAAATAAAAGTTATTTCTTAAATAAAAGAAGTGAAATAAAAGATAAAATAAAAATAAAAATAAATAAAATATAAATAAAATAATAAAATATAAATAAATAATGAATATAAATAAAAATGAAATAAAAATTTATTTCTTAATATAATTTCTTTTATTATTCTGTATATGTTTTATTCTGTTATTATTATTTAAAAATAACCCGAATAAATTTTTATTATTTATTTTCAATCTTGTTAATCACCACTACTTTATCAATCAATCCTTATTTTCGCTTACGTTAATCTAATATATGTATATATATGTGTGTATATCTATATTTATATATAAGCCGATGGAAATTTATTTCTATTTTCAAGATTTAGTTATACAAAGGGGAAGAAGATTGATGCAAGATTCAAATTCTGCATTAACTGCAACACCGAACATGCAGACATAAAACATGCACATATAAAATTCATGTTCATCGCATGTCTTGTACATGTTATATGTACATGTTTCATTCTGTAACATGTACACATAAAATTATCTTTATTCATTTTATACACTCCTAAAATTTACGCTTAAAAAGAACTACTGATTACATAAGATTCATTTGCTCTGTAGGTTATGAAATTTATAATTTTTTAAAATTGAAATGCGAATGCAATTCGGCATAATTCTGAGAATTGTTTTGAATTTTATAATTTTTTAAAATTGAAATGAAAATGCAACCCGGCAAAATTTTGAAAACTTTTTTGAATTACGGATTTTATTCTATCTTAAACATTGAGTTTGTCACGTAAAAGTGAATAAAAATCACGTAAAAATATTTCTATATCTTGTTTCGGATAAAAAAAAATAAACGCACAAAAAGGGTGTTAAGTGTATATATATCAATTGGTAAAGAATAAAAACTGTATACATGTATACCTATATATTTAATAAAAAACACAGAAAATGTAATAACACAAGACATAAACAAGAAGAAAATAGACTAGGAACTTGTCAGAAACACAATCAGTTTGTATAAGAAAGCAATAAAAATATATAAATTTTCATGAGCCTACAAAGACAAACAGTCGTCAATTTTATAACATGTATTATTGATGGCTATTTGTTGTTTATCGTTATGTCTAATACAAGATGTTAAAATTTATGTTATGTAAATCGAACTATTATTATATAAATATTTAGTAATAAGTGTGCTAGTAGTAGTTTTTTTAGTAAATGAAACCATTCTATTATCTATAATGATAAAATAAACATGATATTCAAAATTACTTAAAATTTCTTTCTCATCATGCTGGATGGTATGGAATGTAAATATCCTGATTTTGTTAATTCTACTCCTTTGCTATTATAAAAATATAATGACAAAAGATTCATGACAGTCGAAGAATTTTGGAACTTTATAAATTAGTTAATTAAATAACAACTAAATAAACTTCATAATATCTAAGAAAGAAATAACTGAAAAAAGAATTTAATCCGTAAAGTTTTATTTTTTTATTAAATATTGTTAAATTAAGATTTAAATTACATAGTTCATAATTGAATTAAGACTAAATCCATTAAAAAATTTACAAAGTTGAATTTAGATTTAGTGCTTTTTATTTTTATTGTGCTTTTTATTTTTATTGTGCTTTTTATTTTTATTAGTGCTTTTTATTTTTATTAGTGCTTTTTATTTTTATTAGTGCTTTTTATTTTTATTAGTGCTTTTTATTTTTATTAGTGCTTTTTAATGTTTCTCAAAGTGCTTTTTATTTTAGGTTTCTCAAATAGTTATATCTTTTATAGTTTATTTCATTTTTAAAACAATATTCTGTAAATTCCAATAAGCATTTATTAGTTTAAATAAACAAGAAGAATTTAAGAAGAATTTAATAAAGAAGAATAATTCACTAGGATTGTAAAATATGTAAAGGAATTTATTGTGTCATATGCAAAGCTTATCCTAAGAACTTAATCACATACCATCAAATTACAAATATGCTGTATTTTTTCTAAATATTCTTCCTTTTTTTTAAGCTTTTTTTTATATAAAAAAAAAAGCAATAAATATATTCAAAAAACACTATTTTTATCACATTCTTTTTTTTTATTTTCTCATTTAGAATGCATTAACCGAAAAACTTATTTTTATAATATCGATATTATATTATGTTGCTTTGTATTATTTAGAAAATATCTAAAAATTAAAATAATGCTTTACACTTATGATGATTACATAATTATTTTAATGAAGAATCGATGATAGAATCTCACTAATTTAAGAGATATCAACTAATTAAAGTATACGTAGAAAGACATTAAACATAAAAAGTGATTTTCCTAAAATAATGATAAAAAATGCACTATTTCTGCAAATTCAACATATTTTACGGACTATCTCAGTAATAATTTAAAGCTAGTGAAAAGCGTATCGCGACGTTTATTGATAAAGCAATCAAAGCGATAATGATATGCGCATCTGTCCTTAGCTACTGTACTCAGTTGAGATAAAAGTATTTTTTTATGAAAGAAGTCATTTTCGCTTCCAAAATGGAATTTAAATAATCCTTTTCAGATAATTTTAAATCAGTCATTAAAATACTTAAACTCTCTTTAAGAAATAACAAAGTAATAACATAGTTAATAACTCTTTTAAGTTAGAACAGCGAATTCTAATTAAATATAACATATATTTAGTTATCTGATTAAACTTTCAAACCATTTTGCATTTTATTCGACAGAGTAATATATGTTTCAGGAAATACTAAAAACATTTACTGGAATACTCATTTTCTGCTGTTTCTATTTTGCTGGATTAAATTTTTGATAAAAAAAAAATAACGATTAAAAATTTACATACTTTTGATTGGTAAGTTTTTGGTTAAGTAATTAAAAAAATGCTTTTCTAAGGATTAAATAAGCAACATTGTTTTATGAATACAGAAAAATTGTTGACGTCTGCAAGATTAAGGTTGATGTTATCAATATTTACTAAAATACTAATATTTACTTGATTAAAGTTTTCAAAATAAGATTAAAAATTTATATACTTTCGATTGGAATGTTTTTGATTAGATAATTAAAAACCGTTTATCTAAGGATACAAATTTTAATGTCTCTTTTATTGTAAAAACTAGTTTAATGTATACAAACAATATTAAAACATTAAAAATGCGAAAAAGACTACATTAAAATAACCTGATTAACTTTTAAAAATGAAGATTCCTTTCATAAATTGCTAGACTGCATTACATACACAGATAAAACACATATCAATCTTGTTAAATACACATATATTGGACAAATGCAAGATTTTAATAAAATAATTTGCAAAATTAATTAAAAAATAATTTGCATCAATAATTAAAAGATCTATTAACAATCTTCTTTGCTCAAAACAAAATACAACAATAATGTCTTCACAAATGTATATTAAAGGTCAAATATTTAAACCCAAAATATATTAAATCCTTACAATTTTATTTTTATTTTAATTTGGAATGTGTAACACATAAATTTTAACGTGAGAAAATATATGAATAAACACATTATGCTCTGTGAAAGTCAAACGGAATTGATTTTCTGACTCTAAATCTCATATAACGTTCTGTTCTAAATGGACAACCTAATCTTACCCTTCCATTGACTGCAATTTCACATCCATGACAGACTACCTGTCATTGTAGTAATAACAGGCATATGAATGGGGATTTTGCAGGCTATAGGACGCTGTTAATGGACGCAGGTAGTACGTGCTGTTATGGGGGTGTCTGGTAGATTCTATTCTCAGACGTGGAATAAATGCCCTTCTATTCATGTTCGCATTGTGTACATCTTAATCAAACAAATTATTTTCAGAAGTAGTTTATTCATTAAACGGCATATATTAATAATTATTAATTGTTGTAAGTATTTGGAGGTATGTTATGCACAAGAAAAAAGTTTTAAAGGAAAGATTGAAAGGAAAATAATCATGGAACCAGGAATTATGGAAACATGGAATAATAATAGGAATCCAAGTTAGAATCTCTGTTATGTGGGTGTCTGGTAGATTCTATTCTCAGAAACGCGGAATAAATGCCGTTCTATTCCTATTCTCATTGTATACATCTTAATCAAACAAATTGTTTTCAGAAGTAGTTTCTTCATTAGACAGTATATATTCACAAATATTAATTGCGGTATTTATTTGGAAATATAATATGCACCTTTTAAAGGAAATAATCATGGAAACAGGAATTATAGAAACTTGGAATAATAACATGAATTGTGGAAACTTGGAATAATAACATGAATTGTGGAAACTTGGAATAATAACATGAATTGTGGAAACTTGGAATAATAACAAGAATTGTGGAAACTTGGAATAATAACAGGAATTGTGGAAACTTGGAATAAACAGGAATTATGGAAACTTGAAATAAAAGGGAATTATGGAAACTTGAGAAGCTAGCATAAAAGAGAGCTCAAGTTAGAATCACTGCTTTCAGAAATGCGGAGAATTGAGAGAGATTTAG